TTGAATATAGCTGTCATCCCTTACTGTATCATTTAGCATTTCTAGGTATCACACAGATAAATGAATTATGTTAATACAATACAGCATATTAAATTGATTTAGAATTTCCTCCTCATAATATCATATTCACTCAGTGATACCATGGTTGATGCTGCTGAAAAGCGTTTATTTAATAATAAACTTCAAAATTCATAGGTACAAATGTACCTTACTTTCAGAGGTGCCATATTCTTTTCAGATGAATTCATGCGAACCCAACCAAAAACTAATTTTCCTGGATTATTAAAAAAAAATATACGCATGCTGCACATTTTGCTGGAAACATTAAAACCTGTGCTTATGAAACCATCCTGGAACCATATTTTTATGACTTATAAAAGAAATTAGTACTTTCACTCAAAGGGCTAGTTATTAAATATTGTATCTTTAAAAAAAAAACAGCATGCTGCAAAACATTTGTATTTTATAGATACAAATTTCAAGAGCTAGAAATGAATATGGGCTTTAAACTTTAATAATAATTCAAAGATGCTGCTAACAAAGGCTACTTTTGATCAGCTGATTTTTCTAAAGCATTTTTAAAAGGTTAACAAATAGAGAGTTAACCTTCAAAATAAGTTCAAGGATCCTTCTCTAAATGTTTGGTTTCTGTTTACCTGGAATACAGATCAAGATACTACAATATTGCCAAACGAAAACAAGCTGTTTTCCCAGTTACATATAAATACCTTTAAGGGTATGTTTTGGGAGTCCTTAAATTTTATTTTCAATTTGTTTCTGCTCAAAACAAGGACACAAGCTATCCATTAAGAAAAGGAAGAAGCACAATTGGAGGGTATATAAGGACACCTGCTCCTAATCACCATGACAATTGATACACAGTTAGAAATCGACCTCCCCAAAGATAAGAAAATCAATATTTATAGAACAGCCAGCACTTCAAATATATGGTTAGTGTTATGACTACACTCTACTCTAAAGTTCTTAAGCTTTATACCTGTGATCAATAGGGAAAAAAAATGTTGCCATTTGCAATGGGGTGTTCTGTGAAGAGTGGTCCTGCTTACATCACTTCATTTCAAAGGATTTGGTAGGATAATCAGATCGGCTCAAGCTGAAACAGCCCAATTGCTAGTAAAAACTGCCTCAGCCCTTAAAGGCCTGCAGGGCTTTAAAAATCAATGATGCTATAGTATTTGCATCCTTAAAAAGACAGCCAAAAAGCAAACTAAACAAATGTTGAAAATGTATTCTTCAACACTATTTCAAAGTATTTCTGCTCCCCGTTCATATACCCACTTAGGAAACATAATTAGACACTCCCAAGTCTATCAATATTGCCAATGGCTAATGCGCATAGGCCAAGACAATTAGGAGATATTTTGAAAAAAATCAGATAAAAGTAATTCACACGTGTAGTTATTATACGTCTCATTTTAACTTTAAATTAATGGGGGTCATGAGAAAAATAAAAATCAACATGTGTAAAAGTAATCTTATTTTAAGTTTATGGGCTCTTGTATTATGCTGCTCTATTAGAGAATGTTATTGTCTGCTTAAATTGTGTGTTAGACTTTTATATTAGTCCTGGAAGGTAAGATTATATTACTGTGTGTGCCTCTGATTATGGTGGGATCATAAAACCCTAAGCATGCAAGTAAGCCAATGGAACCTTCTTGACGGCAAACTCAGAGGAATGATACTGCAGATACATGAAGAGCACCCTTCACCTCTCTTCTATCAGTTGGTCCTTAATCAGGAGTTGGATCAGAGAAGTGCGACAAAGGCTTCTGATTTGCTGCAATTCTTGTGAAGAGACTCCCTGGTGTAGACCAGACATCCATGGAGAATTCAGTAGTAAAAAAGAAACAAAAGTGGCTCCCTTTTAAAATTCATTGATTCATTTAGTTATTTATTGATTCTTCTAATTATTCAACACATTCTTTTCAAGGACTGCAAAGTGACAGGAAAGTTGCTCAGCACTGTAATTACAAGTCTCTGAACTACTTTGCATATAGAGACAAGTAATAAAAATAAAACAATGTGATACATAGTAATAATAGATTGGCCATGGTATCAAAACTACAGGGAATACAACTTTCAAGAGAGAAAGAATACCCAGTTAGTTCAAGACAGAGCTGAAGCGTCCCTGAAACCAAACAACAAAGTAAATAGGCAATATTTTATAGAGCATATTGAAAGGAAGCAAAGTTATCAGAATTCAACTCATAAAGGCTCAGTATTTAAAGATTGCATTTTGAACAACTGCATAAGTGGAAAATAAGATTCAGTTATAGAAGCCCTGGTGTAAAAAATGAGAGTCTCCTCACAAAACGTCTTGGACAAATTAATGGATACACAGAGGTGCTTCTAGAAAGAACCATAACAACTTCCTTAGCCAGATTATTAAGGAGGTTCTAGAGAATTAAACAGAACTCAATACAAACTTTTTAGAATTTTTCATAAATATGTTTGTGTGTGTATTTGTGTATGTATATTGTAGTAAAGGATATAATTCTAAGTGTAAATGTGCATGCATGTATCCCTCCATTCTCCCCCCACACCAACTTCTTTCTTTATAAACTTACTCTTTACCCAAGGAGATGAAAAATAGAAACCCAACAATTCTAGATGATAGCAAAGAAATCCATGATTTTGATTTTAAGAGTATCAGAAATTATCAGTAATGACTAAGATAGTTACTCACTCAAAAAAGGCTTGACACCATATAAACAGATTCTTGACTTCCCCGATACAAGTGACTTTATCTGTTTTTGGATGATCTGAAATCTGCCCAGTGCTAGAATTGTTTTTAGGCATCCAACTCTAGCTTCCACTGACTTCCTCCTTTGTTTTCCACTGAGAAGCAATTTATTGTTTTGTGTTGTTGTTGTTCTCTCTTTGCCCACACTACAGCAGGCAGGTTCCATGCTCAGCAAAGCTGACTGTCTCTGAGACATATAGAAGCAAAAATTTCCCTTAGGAAGTTGCTAGATATTTTCAGCATATTCCCCAAATGTTCTTTTTTCTGCCTTACAAAGTATCTTTATAGATTTAAATGAGTCCATTTTATAAGAACAATAACCTTCCAAATGATATCTACTGTAATATAAAAACTACACTTTCCAGAATATATAAACAGTCCCTGTTGAGCAACATAGAGTCATTAGTTCCAGATAGTAGGCATACTTTTTCACCCTTTAAACTCTAAAGCTTGTCATTTCATTACAGTTTGAGAAATGGTTCTGCCATTTATCTGCCTTTTTCACTCAATGGGAAATTACATACAAGACTAACACATCACTTTTTACAAATAATATTCACCATGAGTGAATATAATAAATATAGTTACAGTTATTCTCAATTACTTATATTCCTGAATGTACATTGCATACAATAACACATAACACATTTCTTTCTTCCATCACTCCTCTCTTCATATTTGAGGTTATATGTTTTACAAGTAATGATTTGAATTCAAAAAGTATCATCAAAAGAAAACGAAAAGGTTATATAAATGTCATGGCCTCACTGTGAATTTTATATGCTCTTGCTGAACTGAACTCGGTGAACATCTGGACTGGGTTTCTACTGTAAAGAGAAATACATCTATGCGTGAAATAGTGTTCCTGGCAAAAGCTTCTTGACATAGAAGAGTCTTGAAAACATGTGGAAAACTCCTCCTAATCACACATTTACACATATGTTGCTGTCATTTTTCTTTTCTATAGAGTAAAACTGGATCTTAATAAGAAAGTTCATACTGCTCATTCCCTTCTTCATCTATAAAAGAAGAGCTTTCATTGCCTTATATATACTTTCAGAAACCAGAGCATGTCAATTAGAACCCATGCTGGCTTTTTTAATCCATGTAATGGATTATAATGTAGGAAAGAAGATGTGGGCATGGATTTCTGTGGTTGTTCTTATGTGTTACATAATAATAACATTGATGACCATAAGGCCTAAACTATCAAAAGTAGAACATTAAAAATTATTTTATCAATAAAGATATATTACACTATATATGTTATTTATATTGAAGGCAAGATCTTGAAGGTAACCCTGTGTCTTCCTCTTGTTTATATCTTCTAATAATGTCTTTTTTTTTCCCCTTAAAAAACAATATGTGAGTTTTTTTTTTTTTTAAATAAGTAATACGGCTGTTGGAGAAATTCTAGAAAATTATAAAGAGTGGAATCATTCATAATCATACAACCCAGTAATGAGATTTTCTCATGATGCTTTATTTTTTCTTTTTTAATGACTTCTGTAAATACTTAAAAAAATTTTTTTTAATTTACATAGAAAAGTGTAAGGAAAAGAATGAAATTACTCATAATCCCATCACCCAGTGATGGCCTACATTTGCTTCTATTTCCATAACTATCCTTCTCTGTGACTAAAGTAGGATAACATTTTATTATACCTTATTATACTTTTTCATGTATCTATTTATGACTAATTTATGTCATTAAATATTCTTTAAAAATATAAATTTTAATATCTGCATAACTTTCCATCTTGTTTCTGTAGGAAATCATTTAATCTTTCCCTACTCAGATATTTAAGAAAATAAGGCAGTAGAAAACATCTCTGTTTAAATATTAACAAAATTTCTAACCAACTCAGCCAGCTTTATTTGCGAAACAAGGAAATAAAGGCCCATTTCTCTTAATAAAAATTTTTTTCTTAAATTGAGCCGATACATGTTTGGATCTCTCTGTGTATTGTTTGTTCTGTTTTTCTAGCATAATACTTGTGCCAAAAAAGAAGCAAATAAAAAAGAATATTTAGGGATTCGAGATAAGAGTAGTCTTTCTCATTTTAGGTGAAAATTGACTTCTTAGTACAACTTTCTCAAACAGAATTTTCTGCAATATTATGGTGATAACATTTTATTTAAACTAGTAGAATAGCAGCAATAACAAAACACATATTCAGCGTGTTTAAAATTTTATTTCCCCCTGCAGAGGAAGAAAAATGTCAGAATTGTTTACCTGGGGATATGATATAGAAGAAATCTTTAAATTCATCCATCCAAACTTCTGCCAGTCTCCTGTTGTTCTTGTTGATGACATGACCAGTGCCACCAGGGAAAGTGTATGGAGTTGCCTTCCGAAAAACGTGACCAACATGGGAGCAAGTCACAATCTCCAATGAGCCTCCACATTGCCAAATCTGGGAAAAGAGCAATTATTGTAAAGGACTCATTGTAGATAATGCAGTAAAAATATCTGAGAAGCAACTGAGGCTAACTAAGGCCAAATCTTCAGATCGTATATGGTTCAAGCAAACATCAAATGGATACAAAATTTAGAACTAGTATACTTAAGTTTGGCAAAGGATTCTAATTTGGAACAGCTTGATATATTTAATTATTGTACCACTGGAATCATGGAAGTTAGATGAAGCAATTATTTTCGTGTGCTTTTATTAGACTGCCTAACTTGCAGTTTCTAGTAGTTAACCTAATTGCTATTTAATAGATATTTGGTACCAAAATCTGCTATGAATGAATGAATTTATACATATTAGATGCAATGGTCAATAACTAAATTTGATTTGCAGAAAAATCAACCTATTATACTCCATCCATCTGGAATTTTAAATGAATATAAATTCTCAGCTGTCCAATATCCCCTGTATCTTACGCCTTTGGATATGTTATTATTGTTATTAAAATGTGCTGGAGCTCCTTTACATCTGCTCAACATCTACACATCCTTCAAAGTCCACCTCCAAGATCATTTCTTCTAGGAAGCTCTGTGGGGAGGTTTAGTATTATGTGACTTTTGTACTTTAAACATGCTTTCATGAAGAACTAATTACACTATATTATAAGCAATTGTTTACTTCACTATCTCTCCTTTAAAACTATGAACTCTTGGAAAACATACACCATATGTTTCTTGATGTCCTAGATTTACTGTGTAGTTGAGGCTAGGTATTAAGTATTCATAAAACATTTATTTCTATAAAATTATACTGTATAGCCATAGGTTATACTAATAGCATGTATGTGTGTGTTATACATATGTATGTGTGTGTCATATATATGTTACATATATATAACATGTTATATATGTTATATATAGATACTATATATACATATGTTGTACACACTCATATATATTTATTACGTACATGTAATATCTTATATATGTGCTACAGGCTTTTTATCCCAATAAATAAAAGTCATAGTTATCGCTACATGTAGTTGGAAGGACTTCATTTTATATTGTAACTAACATTTCTTATTTTAATGAGAGTTGCTTCTTTTGCAAGATAAAGTTTTCTCCAACTGATCCCTCAAGTAATATCCATTTTCGAAGAGGGCTGCTATTGGGCTTCGGTAGCAGTAAGAGACATTCGTTGTCACCAGAAGACAAAAGATGCTAAATAGTAAGTTATATTCATCAACAATGGTTTACGCATTATATGTGCAATTTATTCTTTCTCATTTTCTAACTGTTTAAACAGTGTAACGCTAACAGAAAAGAAGGTCCAACCCAACACTGAAATGATGGGGCAATAAAAAAGAATGGAATTTACCATTCTCCTCAAAAGACAGGATAGCTCATTTTTTAATAATCAAAGTATTTAATTGATTGGTAACTTTCTCATCTTTCTAGCACAAAATCTAGAAACCTTCTTGTAAATACACACATCTTTACCTTCTGCCTTCCTATTAAAATGGAGGAAGTTGATCCTTCCCCTATCAAAGACAAATCAATACTTGTATGTCAGTCTAGATCATATCCCTTAAGTCTGTCTTAAGGACTTCACTGGTTTGGTCCTCCCCTTGACTTTCTCCTGAAACATCAATCATTTGTCTCATTACTAGATTATATCTATCTTCACATAATATCTCCTAAAATCTCCTATCTTTCAAATTGATTAAAAAATAGATAAACAAATAAAAAATTACAAAATGCAACAAAAAGTTGGTCCCTTTGGACCATCCCTTGGTCAATATTCCCATCCAACATATCTCATTTTTCTGTTTCCCTTTACTGTAAATTAACATAACATTTTTATTGATATATGTTGTTTCCCTTCCTCTATTTTTATCCATTTTTCTACTCATTGTGAAAAGCTGTTTATTTCTGCAACTCCCCCAAAATTGCTATGGTGAAAATCACAAATTTTTCCCTCGATGAATGTCTAGTAGACTCCTTTCTTGGATTCTCTTGCTTTCCCTCCTACTACCTCACTGTTTAAGCATTTTCACTCTAAATTTCTATATAAATGTTGGCCTTCATCTTTCTTGCTTCATTCTCTAGGTGGTCTTATTGATTCTTATTACTTTACATACGATCTGAATCTCACAGCCTCAACAGTGACATCTGAGCTCAGATCTCTCCTCTGGGATCCAGACTTGTGTATCCAAACATCTACTTGATATCACCTCTTCCATGTCTCAGAGACATCCAAATAAATGTGTCCGAAGTGGAATTGTTGATTCATCCCCACCTTATCAGTCAGGTCTTTTTTTCTTTTCTTTCAGTCTTTTTTTTTAAATTAACAATAAACAGTGCCACCATTCATCCAAGTGGTCAATCCAAAAAACAAAACAAAAACCCTAGAAGTCATCATTGATTTCTCCTTTTGTTTCATCACTTATATTCACTCCATTAACAACTCCTGGTGGTGCTACCTATAAAACAATTCTCAGTATATCCATCTGTCTCTGTCTCCACTGCTACTCTCCTTGTCCTAGTCACCAACGTCTCTTGTCTGTCAAGTGCCATAGATTCTCAATTGTCTTGCTGCTTTCACTGTTGCTCTCCTATAATTTGTTTTGTACTGAGAAATCAGACTGGCCTTTTAAAAATTTAATCATTTCATTTTACTTCCCTGCTTAAATAGTGCAGGGAGTTGCACTATGAATATAAACTAAATCCTTTAGCAGGGCCTCTAAGACCCTACACCATTCTCTCTCTCTGTCAATAAACACTGGTGATGTTGGTGCTCTGTCATTTCCTAGACTAACAAATCACATACTCTCTTTCACATACAAACCCTCAACACATGCTTTCCCTATACCTGGGCTACAATTATGTGAGCCTTTCACCTGACTGCCTCTTTCACATACTTCTCATCTCCACTGAAACATCACCTCATCAGAGAGATCTTCCCAGTCACCATATTTAAAGTGCCCCAGCCCAGTTATTTTCTTTAATAGCACCCTGTTTATTTCCTTCATTTCTTATCACATTTTGCAATTTACTTATTTATTTGTTTAGCTATGCACTTTTTTCCCCAACTAGAATGTAGATTCTAAAAGGGTACTGGAAGTGTCTAGCCATTGCTGTACCCCCAGAGACAAGCCCAGTGCTTGTGACATGGTAGGTGTCACTGTATATTGGTTGAATGGAAAAATGGACAACTCAAAATTAACTACTAAGATTATCATTAAAAAAAGGCATCCCTGGCAGAATGATGAGATTTAAACAGATATAATTTGGGGGGATTTTAAATTGCATTTTTTAAGGAAATATTTTTAGTATCAACCTAGGTAGAGTAGTCTAGTGAAACGATACGCATCTGCTGTTGCACACGACTTGGGACTTGAGGAAGTTCTTTGGAGGTCACAACACACAACACACAAATAAACATTAGAAATGGCTGATGGTTTATGACAAACAAGGTTGCTAAATGATACAATCTTAATTTTTAATGTGTTATCAAAGTAACCATTTAGCCAAACTCACACTCTCTCTCTCACAAACATGATTTAGTAAAGTACTCAGGTATTTGTACTGTGCCCAGGCCATTCAGCAAGGTGCCCCAAATTCAGAAGAAATATCCTATGACATGTTATACTTGAGAGGAAATTTAAGATCTCTTTAGTGTATAGAATGCAGTGTTAGCAGTAGAGCTTTACCTCCTCTTCTATGGATTAGGCATGAATGAAGAGCTTCTTTCTTCCTTCATCCAAGTCATATAGAGGAATTAATAAATGAAGGAGAGATTGGCATTTCATTCCCTGCTAAATACTTGCTGAGCAATAAATCAGCAGACTACCCTGGTGCTGCCATCAGAACATAGCAGGACATGGTGAATGAGTTTGTGGGAAAGGCTCATTTATGGGGAAAACATGACCCTAGTAAAATGGTGACCGTTTCTGGTCTAGAGAATCCTGAAAGTGAGTTGGGGTTTATTGAACAGCTTGTTCCAGCAGAATTCACAGGTCTAGTGATGCAGTGACCCTGGGAGGGAGTGGTCTTTGAGGACAACTGGACAAGACTTCAGTGGTTCCCCAACTCTATAGAGCATGGAATACAGAAGAGAAAAAAATGAGCTATTGGACTAGCAATATGGCAGATCAGCAAGGAGATGTACCATTAAGAAAAACAGTTGGAGACCTTACCGGGCGGGAGAGAAACTAAGATTTCCCTCTCCAAAAGGCCGTTGGATGACAGAGGGGATAGGAAATAAAGCTGAGAACACTTTTAAGAAAACAATGAAACCGTGTATAGAAGACTGTCATATGGATGGAGGCCATTCGTGGCAAGCGGAACCATATTAAGCCAACAATAGGCAGTCATCATAAAACATGATATCAGATAAGACTTGCCATTTCTCTAGCCCTCCAAGTTGACCCTATACACTGGGGGAGTAGCAACCCAGAAAACCCTGCCCTTCCCCATTTCAAGCTCTTCTATCAGCATGGGCCTGGGAAGAGAAAGGAATGTAAGCTATGTATTGCTTATGAAATCAAAGCTTTAAACTGAAAATTTCTAGTATTTTTAATAACTGAAAGTATTGTCCTAAATCACATCAGAATTGGAAAGGAATACTCTTCAGAGCACGAAGCAATGATTGAAGAAAAAAATCAAACCATTTAAGTTTGTACTCCACTAAATTCAGACTATATAATAAGCCCCATTGCTTATAAACCAGTGATTGACAACCGTCCTCAGGGTTCCCAATTTGCCTTTTTGGAAATATGGATTATTATTATTACTATTATTACTGTGGTTGCATAAGTGAGGGCACTTTACTTCTACTCTGTCACTTCTTGGCCATACCCTGGTTTGTAGGCTTATGGGTTCTATGCCCTGAACATGCACAAAGAAAAGAGAATGATATCTAGTTTGAAATCTTTTAAACCTAGGGTTCCAATGGTCTCTCACCCCTTTCCCTCCTAATAGGCAAAGGTGAGGATATACGAA